GTACTAGATCCCATGTATGATTAGCTATCAAGGCATTATATTCATCTAGCATGGCATTGTACCAGTTAGGATCTTTGAGAGCACTACGGTAGGTAGGGGGTATGGGAGAGATGGGTACAACGGTGTTGAGGTTTAGGATTTGTTTTGGGCAAAAGATGCCGGCCTTGGATCGGGTAACCATCGGGTGGGAGGGGCCTGTCGGGTTTGGGGTGGGTTCCCGTCTGTCCGCTGCCCGTCTGTCCGCCGCCGCCGCCGGTGCTGAGGAGGGCTGTGGACGGCGAGCCGGCGCCATACATGGCGTCGGTTTGTTGCTGTTCGACGAGAAGTAGGGCGGATCGGACCTCCAAGAAAGTCAGCAGTGGATTTTGGTATTGCAAGAATTGAACTTGACTCCGGATGTTGTGAGGGAGGCCTTGAAGAACCTGAAGTACAAGAGCATGTTCGGTGACAGGCGCATCCACGTCATCTAGGTACTCGGAGAGATTCTTGAGAAGACGGCAATATTCGTTGATGGAGAGTTGACCTTTAACAGTTGTACGGAAACGGTGCTCCAATTGCATCGCCCGGGCGTGCTTGTTGTCGTGAAAAAGATTGTAAATTGCCGTCCATAGAGCATGAGCGGTGAGATTGTTGGAGAGCACAAGGTCGGAGACTTCATCCGTGATCGTAGCCAGGATCCATCCTTGAATTAGGGCATCAAATTGATACCATTCAGCATCATCTGCAGAGGAGGCACGGGTTGTGCCATCGATGTAGCCTTTGAGGTTGAATCGAAGGATCAAGAGACGAAACAATCGACTCCACTTTTTGTAATTTGGTTCTGAGAGACTAAGTTGGACAGGAATATGGAGTTTAATGTTAGAGATTGTGGTGAAGGCAAGGTGGGGAGATTTAGAGGAGTTGTTATCGGAAGAGACGGAGGAAACCTCGGCCATGTTCGCCGCCGAGAAGAGCTGTCGTGAGGGGGGGCCGAAACAGAGAAGGAGAGAATTAGGGTTGGAGAGGGAGCTGTGATTGATTAAAGCTCCGATACCATGAAGAATGAATATTTTCACATAAATTATTATGGGAGATTACATGTGTATATATACAGGAGTTTCCTAATGATGATATAAAACAATATTAATTACACCCTGTACAATTATGGAAGCTACCAATATACATTAATATTAAATATAGTAAGAATATATTTAACAATTAGTAATGTATCTATTCTTATTAACACTCTACCTTTTCTTATCAATATATGTTCCACCTTTTTATGGTAATAATATTAATTAACAATTATCATTATCATTATCATTATCATTATTATTAGTACCTCACTTCATATTTTTGTCCCATTAAGTATTTTTTATTATCCTTGAATTGCGCTGAATTTTGAATTTAATACTTCATAAATCTATTTTTCCCTGAGCATAAAAATCATCTTTACCACAGTGTAATATGCAATGTTGGAAAAAAAGAAAAACATTTATATTATAATCTCAAAATTAGATTTCCTCTTTTTCCTTATATGCATAATAAAGAATATTATAATATAAGTTGCCATTTATATATTACCATTATGGTGCACGAAATATTACCATTTATATATTATTTATGTGAAGGAATAAGTAATATTATTTTGACTCTAATATATTCTTTTGAGAAATGCTAGGTTCACAAACATGGTTACAAACCTCACACTACTAGAATTTCGCGTATTAGCTGCAAACATCTAGAGGGGGATTTTTTCGCCTCTAGTTAGCGGCAGAATAGAGGGGGACTACTTACCCTCTATTTGAAAATTTTATTTAGTGGCAGCTTTTTCCGCCACTAGTATCGCAACTAATTGAAATAAATTTAACGATCATAACTAGGGGAATAATTTAAAATTTAAAAGGGCGATACAAAAGAAATTTAAATTTATTTTAAAATTAGAATTAAATTAGGGGCGGACTTTTCTCCTACTAATAAGAAATAAAATAGCGGCGGAAGTATCCCCCACTAATAAGTATAGAACAAAAAAAGTTAAATTAAAAAACCTATCAATATTTCGTTTATATCAGCATCGGGGTAACAAAATGATGAAAAGAATCAGGATGAGGCTAGGGTTACAGATGGTTGGGCGCCATCCAGTCGCTATCTTCACCGCACCATCGCCGCCTCTAATCATCGTCGTCGTCGTCATCTACCTCCGTTACAGATCCAATTGGCCAGCGCCTCTCCCCTTCTCCTCGCCGTCATTGGCGACCTGCGAATTGAAATGACCGCCATCCCTTCACCATTCCAAATTTCTTCGTCGTCCCAGCCTCCGCCGCCTTCGCCATCCTAGTCTCCGATCCCCCACCTCTGATTTTCAGGTTTTTAATTTTTTATAGAATTTCCACTTTTTGAATGTTTTAATTTGCTTCAATGATGTGAATGAAACTACTTTAATTATTCAAATTATGTTAGACCATATTTTTTTAGTCCGATTCGATTTTGAAACAAGTTTGTAACAAATATGTTTTGGTTTTTTTTAAATTTATGCACTCTATGAACCAAAAGTCATGGTTTCATGGTTTTTAATTTTTCTTGAACTTCCATTTTTGTATTATTTTATTTGGCTTGAATTATGTGAACCAAACTTCTTTAATTATTTAAATGAATTATGGGCACATGATGCTTTCTATGGTATAGGTTTAATGGGAACATGAAATTTGTACCTTTATGTTTCTAAAATTGTTTTTTGTAACTTGTAAAGCTATAAATTTCTGTTATGGAAGCTTGTAAGGATGTATTCTGATTAACCTCTTATATTTAGCTTGAAAGTATGTATTCTGACAAACAAA